AACTAAAGTGAAGATTATATCCAAGGTTCAGGGATGTCAAAGCCCTTGGAAATTTGGTGCAAATAAATAGGAAAATAAAATTATCGGGTGTAGAATTGGAGATTTTAGAGTGAAAGACTAAAATCCCCAATTCAACCATATTGTTTGGGTGCTGAAGTGTAGATGTTAGCCTTCAGGCGAGGGGAATGTGGGAGCTCCGAAGTGAGAGCTGGTATCCTCCCAGCATAGCCGCAGATTCAGTAAACAAGCGTAGGATTAGTCAATGTTTTTTATGTCTGGACCAAAGGGTAAAGAATATGTATGCTCCTATTTGGCATAATACAATTTGAATTGATTCACTTTATTCATTCACTATAATTTCTTGACAAGGAGAATGATGTTATCTTATATATTGAATTTCACATTAAAAACTTTATTAGTATAATTAGTTATTTAAGAGTTATTAAAATTACATATTTATTTCAATTGTCTATTAGTGGCAGATAAGCAATTTAAATTATATTGTTGTGATTAAGTATTGAATTTTCTAAAATCTTAGTTTATAGTTCTAATATTACTCCCTGTGGGATCTATATCTAGGACTCCATTAGAGTCTTATATTACTTGAGCGATACGTATATTTGCGTTGATAAGTGTGACTTTACCATTATTAAATATTATATATCTACATCTTTATCAAATCTATAACTATTGTTAAGTTTTTGGTGTCGTTGCTGAGGAAATAAATCTTTTAGCAACAGTATTAAATACTTGTATTTTTAAGCATATATAATGTCGTTGTCATTCACCTTATGATTCGTAGTGTTCTTCGAAAGAATCAAGTTAAATTGGACACTAACATATTTAGTCCAAAGAGAAGGGCAAAAATCTCTCAGAAATCTTTCATGAAAATGCTGTGAAAACTAATCAAACACTATTATTATGCATTGAGATTATTGCTTTGCTGACAAAAATATACTGTCCAATGTAACTTTAATTTTTAATATTCAATATTTATTCCCATAAAATGCAGATAGCAAGGGAAGTTGACTTTACGTTCCCCATAAAATTTGAAATTTTAAAAATACTTATTATTTATTTTAGTGTGAACTATGACCAAAATCTATCACACTAAAACAGTTCTCTTATTTGAAGGGATGTTGAAGAAATACATAAGCGAATCCTTGAATTTTAACTTGCTTGGCCCTTCCTATTCTTAATGCCTTCCTCATCTATCTCAACTAATTGTAATTCACGAGTAATGTATTTATGAGAAAAAGCTTTTATCTCAATTTCTAACTAGACATAATGAACAAGGTTTTGAACCCTAGTTAGTATGTACCTTCTTATTTCTACCTCCAAAACAACCATCGTAATCTAGTGGATTATTACTAGTGAGCTAACTTACTGAGGGTGATGATTTTGTGAGCCCTTCTGCTATGCATGCTGGTGCCACATCTATTCCAGATGATGATTTGATCGGGGTCGAAGAGGACCCTTGGTCTGACGCATTAGGCTTCATTAACCTTGCTGAGAGGGAAAAAAGCAGTCGACCCTCTCCTCGTCCGACATCAAGAGAGGAACAATGTCCTACCGTGAGCGCAAGTCCGGAAGAAGAAGGGTTTAAATCAGAGGCCAATCTAGAAATGGAGACCTCAATCTATAGATTTGATAGAGACCACACTACTCCTCTCACCGAGCCAGATGATAGTTCCATTTTTTTAGAGGGACTTCGACGAATTAAATGGAAGGATCCCATGGGTGACAAGGATTCCCCATTTGCCTTTTTTCCATGGGGGTAGTGATGTGTGGATCTTGATGCAGGAGGAGGGGCTAAAAGCTGTTATTTTGAGGGTGTTTTTTTTCTCTCTTTTTTTTATTTGGAGTCGTCAACTTATCTATCATTGTATGATTTTCTTTTCAGAGTAAATCTCTCTTTCGGATCATATGAATGATATTGATAGATTGGAATCAAAAGATAAAGATATACAACAAAGGAGACAAATAAAATAAGTGTGGAAAAATCTTATAAAGTAAACTTTGCATGATAGCCAAAGAGCGTACGTCCAAAATGAGATTAGATCAAAAATGCTTTGGAACATATCGACAAAGAAGACTCTATGAAAGCAACCCACAATCAGAGAGTGAAGTGTGTTTGCTTATTGTAGGGTCAAGAGCAACTCTCAAAGGGACCTATTCATTTGGTTAAATATATCTTAGAGGATGCCCAAGAATACTCTTGATTAAAAGAATTTTGTTTACATTTAAGTGACATCTAGCAAGATGTGTCACAAAGGATAATTATCTCACAGAAGCATCTCGACGCTTTCAAAGTTTTCAAAGCTCTCGCTAAACCACATGGCAGAGAGTGAGTCTCTCACATCTCAGATGGGTAATGGTTCATCAAAAATTGAGGTATATGAAATAACTAAGTCACCTCGTAGGGTTCACACTGTGTTCAAACATAACTGGGCCATAAAGGCAGAGGGTGAATCACCGTGTCCTAAAAAGGTGACATCCTGTCTGCAATCAAGGACTCTGAGATGAAATCGTTGAACCATCAAAGTATAGATCTGTCATCACAAGCAATTAGGGCCCTATGTATACCGATTCGTGAAGGTATTCGAACCAACACAGCTAGAGATTCTTTGTCAGCAATCCATGAATTGCATCTTTGAAGGAGACCTCGATAGCTCTAAGTTATAGAGAAAGAAAATTTAAATCTACTTAGTCATCAAACTAAGGATCATACATTTAGCCAAGGTTAGTCTGAGTATTGAAGCCTAGATTAGTTTGATAAGTTTCCTAGTTAATGTTATGGATTGGGACATATAATAAATAAACTTACCCCCTGACACTAGAGGAAATACCTTAGAAAGGTGTAACCCATGGTTACTAACAAAAGTATTTTAGACCACTTCAAGACTACGAATCCCTTGCTGCAGAATTTAATGAGAATTCATAGTTCTGAGGTTGGTTGTAGTTGACAGATAGCCATGTCCCTGAGATGATGAAAAGCCATGAGTATCTTGACTGGGGATGTTATTCCCAAAGTCTAGATTAGTCCACCCATTAGAATTCTTTATAGAATCTAGGGTTTCACTTCTCATATAGAAACCCTTCTTAGTTGACTCTATCTTTAGCTTAGAGTTTTCAATCATATATATTAACCAAATCAAGTAATCTTGATCCATCCTTTAACCTCGCCTGATTAGTTCAAACTCATGATCAGTCATTTTCAAACTCTTCAACCATCATTCTTCGAGTATAGACCTCCTCCATTGGATAGTCGATCCCTTCATTCAAACCTTTCCATGACACATTATCATCAAACTATAAGACCCATCTCTTTGAGCTTAATTCTTCCAATTTGGACCTATTTATTTTTCAAACCACTTTAATCATGAAATTCTAACTTCTAATTATTTGACTCATCACATTAATCGAGAGTTTTCCTTAAGACTTATGTCTTTAGAGATGCAATTAACTATGAGGAATTGCCCTTGTAGGGACACTAGACCTCGGAAAAAAACCATAGAATTAAAATAAACCTTATATTGCACCCGTAATATATGAAAAAACCCCTTGTTCCATATACTAACCAAGACTTTCATCATCCGTGTGGTTAGGCCCATTTTTAAGGTAGTACTTTCTTCCATTTAGAAGATATAATATTCTTCAGGAAGTCGATCCCGATCATCTAGATAGAAGTCTTCCAAAAACTATATAGTGTGTTGTGACACACAAAATCTATCATCATTATCTTATCAAAGATTGGCATGAAGAAAATGTTCATAGAGCTCTTAATGTCGATAAGTATACTCTCCATTTGAAGGTAAAAAAAAAAAAAGAGAGAAATAAATATAGTGTCATTGTAAGGATTTCCTTTGGCAGGTAATTCTTCATCAGTGAAGAAAATTGATGAGTCTTGTGAGGTGTGTCCCAGAGTCAGAGCCATCGAGAAAACTTTTGAGCAGTAAGCTAACCATTTGCGCTGCTTCACCACCTCTCCTAAATATGATTGGTATAACACCTAAGATGTGGATTGACAGAACTCGAGCAAGCTCGTTGAGATTTTTATCGCCCAACACTTTTCCCTACTGCTGAGCCACTGTCTTGGATGCTACAGACTCTTTCATCATTTCAACTTTGATTAGCTTCTCAATCAAATTTTGGAGGTTTTGACATTCCTCCATGTCATGTGTATGATCCTTATGATACGCATATTATTTCTTTATGTCTTGGAGATACCCTACTATTATTATTGGAAGTGCCTTTTTAAGGAAGTTTTTATTTTAGATTCTTTCCACTGCTTAGGACATAAAGACTCTTAGCAGGGTGGGTTGACCAAGTTCTTGGGTTGGTGGTGATGGCCTCCTTTCGTTGCGCCTTTTGGCTTGTCAAGTTGGATATAATTTTTCATCAAGATAGACCTTTTTACCTGCCAATCAGTTTTAAAGGTTGATTACAACTCTCTAAATATAGGGCCTCGCGGATGGACATTGATTTTTTTCTTGGTCTCCAACCTCCTTCGTGGTTGCTTCCCTTTGGTGAGTACCGATCAGAGGATCTTTTTTTGGCGGTAAGAGGAGAATTACACTATATGCTGCATATACGGTCACTGAAGACTTCAAATAGCACAGTCAACTTCTTGGATTGCTACAGCTTAAGGAGGTAGCAAAATAGGGTCTCCATGATTCCAAGTGTCACTGTTACAGCTACGATCATAGGTTCAAGATCCCGGACTTCCAATAGTTCTCTCTGGAAATAGGTTATAAATGTTTGCATGGATTTTCTCGCCCTTGACACAGTTTTAGGAGACCATGTGAATTTCTCTAGGACTTCTGGACGTTGGAGAATTGGGTTATGAAACTAATGAGGGTCGACATTCTAAGTTTTTTTTAAACAAAAGCAACACTTGAGCGCATTGTTGAATCTTGGTAAACATATGGTCCACTCAAAAGAGATGGTGTGATTGGTCAGATCTGACTGTCCTTAATAGTAGTCGAAAGTTGGGAGCTTCAAACATTTTGGAGGCTTGGTTTCAAAAATTTGTCAGGAAAAGGCATTTTTCGGTGGTATGAGTTGTGATGCATCCTTATGATTGTGTTTGTGACGGTATAGTGGCGCAGGCCCACACTGTCGAAGTTGTAGATGTCCTGATCCGCTTCATGTGATCCTTCATCGTTCAGAGTAATCATCCTGTGCAGGAGAAGAAATGTTGTTAGCCTTCGCATTTGAGCTCTCTTAGTGTTTTGAGCGCCTTTGATTGCCTTCATCATCTGCTCCTTTAGTTCATTGATCTGTTGAGTCAAAAATTGTTATTAATCATTCTCGATGTTGAAGTTTTTCTTCTTGATTTGTCCATCTTTTTTATCTGCAATATTATTCATGTTCATCGCACCTTTCAGGGTGCTAAAAAAACGTATGTTCATGAATCACACCTTAGGAATAGAGTTTAAGCAGAGAAAGATAGAAATTCAAAAAAAACTAAAGTTTTAGGAGCACCAAAATTTAATACTCCCCGCGTGTCCTTTTTTCGGGAAAAAATAATCTTTATATGTTATTGTTCTCGTATTTATAGTAAATGGAAGTTACATTATGAAATGTCAAAGTTGCCCTTGAAATTCTTACTATCATTCGGTCATCTTAACTGTCAAGATTATCATTACTTTTGTCGAATCCGTCCTAATCAGAGTGCTGCTTTACCCACTCCTATGTTATTCAATCGTTCGTTTGCTTATTCAGTTAGCTTGCTTGAGTCAGTCAATTGAACGATTTGCTTTGTGCGAGCTAGGACCTATTTATGTTCACCAAGGTTGATTTTTAGCCACGTGTCCTATCTTGGGACGTAGCATATAAATATATATA